GCTCTGCCCCACTCTGCTCTGGGCATTGCCCCAGCTGGGCCTTGCCCTGCTTCCTGGGAGTTCTTGCACATCTGGCCGGCCAGCCAGCCGTGCTCTTTCTACAAGTCCCTCATTTTCTCTGCACTTTGCAACTCATCTTCTTGAAGGGCAGGAGAAAAGACAATAGTCCCCAAGTCTCACGGCCCATGACTTTACCCATCCAGCATGATAAAAGGTAGCCCAGTCCATCCCTGCACCATGACGGCATTTGCAGTTGCTTCTCTGAGATGGCACCCAGCACGGGTCCTGACCATGCCATTAGCAGCCCCCAGGCCTGCAGGCTGCCCCTGAATCCCAGCTTTGTTCTGCAGTCAAAGCCTTGGCCTGGAGGGCAGGCACCCTGAAGCTGCATTCCTAGGCTGTCTGGAAAATCTTTGACATCTCCCCGGGAACTGCGTCCTTAATGTGGGTTTTGTGTGAGGGGCCATGCCCACCCTGTCTCCCCACCCCACTCATTCAGTTATGTCTGTTAGATGCAAAGGATAATTACAGGGCTGGGTCGTGGGCTTACCAGACTGGGAGGGGCTTTAAAGAACACTGATTCTCTGTGGTTCCCAGACCCCCAGCAGCGGCTCCTGGGAAGAGGGTGACCAATCATCCTGGGTGCCAGGGATTATCCAGAGTTAGCACTGAAAGCCTAGTATTCTAAGAAATGCCTCAGTCTCAGACAGATCAGGCCATTGCCACCATGGGGAGCAAATTTCCCAAGATCCTACCCCAAGCCCATTAAGTCAGAAACCCTGGGGTGGGCCTGAGCAATGTGTTTTAATAAGCCCACAACAAAACCACTGCCCCATCCTGCAGATGGGCAAGCAGATATCCAGGGAAGGTCTGAGGTTCACCCCCAGCTCTTCTAGCCCGTTTTAGTACTGTTTTGTTTGTTTACTGACTCTCGTCATAAGCCCTGGGGAGCCCAGGTAGCTGTCAGGGGGCAAAGCCAGGAAAATTGACCCCACCCCTGTGCCACACAGCTGCCCGGCTCAGCAGACCTGGGCCAGACTCACCGAGGTCCAGTCAGGCAGCCTGTTAGAAGCAAAAAAGGCACTCTGTTTCCCAGAAGTCCTAAGACACGCCTCGGAGCTCGGTGAAAATGGTCTTGAGGGATAATTGCAGCCCGTCCCTCCATCAGAGGGACCGGTCAAGTAGCCTGTGTTTTCTTTTCCCCTCTCTGGGGCTAACTTGACCATCAACACTCCCCACCCCAGCCCCCAACCCCTCCCGCCACGCATTACGTCCAACCACAGGGGAGGACATTAGGACAGCTGCCCATCTGCCAGGGATCCCATCTGGAACTACTCGGGGCATTGGGCTCGGAGTGGTTGCTTTAAGGGACACTTCAGGGTCACCGTCCTTCAGCCTTCTCCACCTATCCAGTGTCCCTAGCTGTAGAGGGAAGTGCATGGACTGTGGAATCAGTGAAATGTGCAACTCGCCTTTACCCTAGGCCTTCTCATTGGAAAAGCCCTACCTCTGAGTCTCTATTTTCTCCTCTCCTTTTGAGCTCAGCCTCCCTTGATCTGATCCCCACTTAACTGCAGCCCTTCAGCTCTCACCCTTCATTCACACTCTGCACCCATTGGCCCCAAAGTGGAGACAATCTACTTAAAATTCCTAATCCTAATTATTTTATCTTTTAGAAAAACTAAGCTTTGATGATACTTACCATGTAGGTTGACAATAATACATGAATAAAATTTATAAATACACACACACACTTCAGTAATAAGAGCATGTGGATAAAAGAGCTTGGTGGCCACTACCCAGAATCATTCCCTGGTATTATTGTCCCATCTACAGTGCCCCATACACCATGCCCTTCTCATACTTTTGTACCCACTTCTCCCTCTACCATCAGGATGAAGTTTGGGTAATAGAATTTCCAAACATGTACCTTAAAGAAGCTGTGTTTGTTGTTTCCTCATATAAACTAAGTCTGGAGGTGAGCAGCCCCATGATGCTCTGGCAGCTCCAAAATCCTCTGAGAGCCAGACTCTTTGAACTGATTGCTCTGCCCTTTTCAACCAATGGTTTCCAGCTCATGGCTCAAAATGGCTGCTTGAGCTCCAGCCATTCCGACCAACGAGAAGAAGGGAAGGGTGAAGAGAGGCATACCCCTTCCTCACTTGAAGGATATTTCCTAATATCACTTGAAGGATATTAGAGGTAAAGAATGACATTTATTAATGATGAAGAGATTGCTCTACTGGGATGATGTCACAACTCCAAATCTGTATGCATTCCGTAAAATAGTTGCAAAATACTTGAAACAAAAATAAACAGAATTAAAGGATAAACAAACAAATACATGATCATAGTGGGAGTCTAATATACCTTTTTCAATAGATGGTAGAATAAATAAACACAAAATCAGTTAGGATATAAGTATGAAAAGTACAGTTAACAAATTTGACCTCATTGACACATAGAGAGTTCTGTACCCTGCAATGACAGGATTCACAGTCTTTTCAAATGCATATGAAACATACACCAAAAAATGATACATCTAAGAAGTTGCATACTTGGCCAGGAGTTAATCCTGGCTACACCTAGCAGAAAGGTATGCTGGGAAATGTCTGCTCCAGGTGGCCAAGGACCTGGGATTCTAGTCCTAAGGCAAGAAAAAACAAGTATCAGGGAAACCAGAAGTCTCTTCCCCTCCCTTCCTCACTTCCCCTTGAAGCTCTGGTCCTGAGAACATTGCACAGTGGGTAAGAGCTTAGGCCAAATCAGAAGCTCTACATTCTGTTCTGGCTTTGCCACTTATTAGCTATGTAATTTTAGACAGGTTATTTAAGTATCAGTTTCCTTTTCTTGAAAAATGGAAATAACCCTGCTTCATAGAGCTGTTGGAAAGACTGAACAAGGTGACACATGTAAAGCACTTAGTCTTGTGCCTGGCACATACCAAGTGCTCAGTAAATATTAGCTGCAAAGAAAGGTTACTTAAGTTGCCCGAGGTCACACAGCTGGTAAATGACAAGGTTAGTTTTCAGATCCAGGCATCTGGCTCCAACCTGCTATTGACACTTCTTTGGGGCCTCTGCCACTAGCACAGAGCCCCACATATGATGGGGGCGCAGTGAGGGAAGGAGAACTGAACAGGGAAGATAGGAAACTGCTACCACCAATTAGCCTTATGACTTTGGAGAGTGCTGATTTCCTCATTGCTTCTGGAAAAGGGTGAATTAAGGGAGCCCAAAGGTTTCCCTGACCCTGATATTCTGTGGTTCTGTCTTATATACCACTAATGGCTAAAATATTACCACTAGAAGTGAGTTTCTTTTTCTTAAACCCTGTCTTCTGCTGGGACCCCTTTTTTAAAAATGTCCTTTTCCCTTAGAGGGTCCTGGCCCCTTGGCTTGCAGCCTGGGAGAAGGTTCTGTGCATGAGCCCAGTGGGCAGGCAGAGGCAGAGAGGGTGCAGACAGGAGAGGGTCGGCTCCGGACAGACTTGGTCATTGTACTGATGGCCCCTGGTGGCCCAGAGCATCCCTTGTCAGGGCCACCTGGAGAATGAACATGTAACAGCTCCCATTCCTGTCACCTGGCTGACCCCATATATCACCATTTTTTACACTTTTTTATAGAATTCCTTTTTTCCTTCTGTATTTTTTCCACTACCCTGCCTTTCAGACTAAATTGGAGGAAAATGGGTTTTGTCTTTTTTTTAACAAGAAGACTGAAAGTCTTAAATTACCTTCTTCAAGGTCTGCAAATAGAAATCCCAAATAAGGCAGCCACTTTTCCTTTTCTCTCTTCCTCTCTCCCTGAGCCTGTCATGAGCTTGAAATAAAAGGCAGAGCGGAGACAAGGAGGCCGCTGTTGGAGGTGGGGAATGAGGCAGAAAGAGATGGAAATGGGCAGAGCCAGTGCCTCACTGCTTATGCTTCGGCGATCAGACGTCCCTGTAGGGGGACGGTTCCCTAAGGGCAGCTGCTCTGTGAGTGTAAGCAGGCACCCGTGGCACACGCAGCCCGAGGAGAAGAGGAAACCACCAAGGCCATTGTTCAGACTTCCTGAGAAGTGAACAGGATCACTGGGGACAGGCGCCTTCCCTCCCTTTACCACCCCATTGCATCACATTCCCAGAGAGGCCATCAGAGAGAGCGTGGTTCTGGGGCAAAGACTGGGAGTTTTAGGGCTGGAGTCCTGAGCTCTAATCCCTGCTACATGTAATAATAACTAACATTTATTGAGGACTTACTTTTTGCCAAGGACTATGCTAACACTTCCCAAGGATTATCCTGTTGAGTTCTCAGAACAACCATGCAGTGTAGGTATCATTACCTTAAATGAGGATGCTCAGGGGTGGGAGGGCACATGACTTGCCCAGAGTCTCCTGTGTCTTGTGACAGACCATGGTTTGAGCCCAGGGAGTCAGGCTCCAGAGGCCTCGTACTTGCACACCAGGCCTGCCGACCTCCTTCCTTATTAGAAAGCCGAGGTGCAGGGACAGGTGGGGTCCACTGGGTGATCAGCTAGGTCCTTCCCAGTATGGACACTCTGATTTGGGGCTTATGCTTCACCTATGCATGCAGAAGTCCTGTTCAGATGATGCTGGGCAGGATTCCAGTGCCCAGCTGGTTTGCTGACTGTGTGTATGAGTGTGTGGAGAAGGGGAAACCTGTGTCCTGCAACCCCGATGAGTTGGGAAGAGAATAAGAACACAAGCAGGCCAGTGAAAAGTCTGCAGAAAGACTTGTAGGTTAGAACTGTGTGGAAAAGAAAACACCAAGATCCTAAAGTCTAGAAAGTTCTGTCCAGTTCACCTCCATTGTGCATCAGGTAGCCTTTGCATTTTACTGATCTTTGCTCCAGCTTGCAGACCCACATCCTTAGGCCCACCTGGCCAGATAGGCTTGTAAGCCCTTTGCAGGGAAGCTTGCAGGGAGCTCTGTCTCTGGGGAGGGCAGGTGGTTCTCCATTGGATGCCCCAGCCCAGCACGTGTCTTCTTTGCAGGCCCAGCAACCATGGCCCATTACAAGGCTGAACAGGACGACTGGTTGATGGTCTACCTGAAGTATTTACTCTTTGTCTTTAACTTCTTCTTCTGGGTAAGTGAATTCTGCACACGTCCCCTTCCCCAGCACCACGTGAGTCAAGACACCTTTGTTTTTTTTGTGACTCACCACACAGGGTTGATTTCTTCCCAGTGAAAGACCACCCATGGGCAAATCCTGCCTACTTTAGAGCAAATATGTACATTTGCTACTGAGGGGAAAGAAAAGAATCTGGTCTGCAGGTTGGCATGGAGTTGGTAGCACATGGCATCTGAATAGAGGATGCAAAATCATAACAAAGAGCTTTATGTTCCATCCGCTGTACAAAAGGTCCAGGTCTTTCTTCCCTGCTAACATGTTGTACCAGTGCCTTGTGGGAAATGTGACTACCTGAAATAATTGTTTTACACTGAAGCCAATTTGCTTTCATGGTGAACATTCTCTGGGCCCAGGGCAGAGACCAAAAGTCCTGGGGGCCAGGGGCTGCCTCTGCATGCGATGGGGATGGCCCCTCTAGCGACTGACCCTCAGGAACCCTGCCCAGGTGAGGTCTCCCCAGAGGAGTGGAGTCTGTCCAGTTGAGGCAATTGTCGGAGTAATAGGTAGCAGAATATGATCAGTTCCCCAAAGGCCCAACCCTGAAAGGTGTGTATTTTGTATTACAGTCTCACTAAGTTTGGAGAAGCAGAAGAGTACTAAGAGGACAGGCTTTGCAGTCAGCCAGACTCACACTCTGCTACTTACTAATGGGGTAGCCTTGGACAAGCCACTTATACTGGCTGAATCTGTTTCCCCTGCTACAAAACAGGGATCATTTCTAACCTTGGGCTCTATTAAAAATAAGACAACAGGCCCCAAATAGAGTCACTGAGGCTAAGCCCCAGGTCACCAAACAGATTTGGACTTAACTTAATCACAGTTGTGGCTCTCCAGGAAATAGAATCTTACACCAGTTGATCAGGAGTCACGTGAACAGCCATCCCCTACAGGAGAGTAACCCAGCCATGACCAACCTGCCTTTTTGCTTAGTAGGACTCTCTTGTTCCACTTCTCTCTGCCTATGAAAGTCCTTCATTTTGCTCTGCTCCTCGGGGCTCCTTTCTGCCTGCTCAATGGGATGCTGCCCAATTTAAATCGATTTGTGCTCAAACTCTTAAAATGTTTAATATGCCTCAGTTTATCTTTTAACAGTTCATTTAGTAGATGCCCTAAAATGGTATATGTCAAGCTTAGCTTAGTCTGTACACACAGAAGCTACTCACTAAATGCAGTATTTCAGATATCTGAGAGGTAGAAGGCCCGGAAATACCACCCAGGCAACCTGCTGATAAGGCAGCCTGAGTTTCCTGCTGGCCACGGTGAGGGGTACACCCCCTTGCCGAGTCATAGAAACAGCTCAGAAAGGCAAAGGCAGAAATGGGATATGTCTTCGTTTTCAGGGTCTTTCCCTGAGATTAATGAAATTGCTTAAGACTGAGAAGGGTCGTGGTCTGGCCATTGAGGACTGGTGGACACAGCAAGGCCAAGTTTTGAAGGTTCTTGGATAGTAGACAGTGACTTGATGATGTCTATGAAAAAGTTGGACAAGTTGATGTTTGTTCAAATGTCTTTTGCAAAGTTCCTGAAATGAACAATAAACTTATTTGCAACTTTTATCTTCCTGGAATAGTGAAGTCATGTTGATGAAGACAGTGAAATAATATAAAGCTGTGTTGATGTGATCAGTAAGCTGTGCGCATGTAGACAGTTTCCATCCCCAGAGATAAATCCAATAGGGTGTTTAGAATTCTTACTGAGGATTTTTTTTTAAGAATAAGTATGTTTTTCCTGATCATAAAAGTCTTATGTGTCCACTACAGAAAATTTACCTCTAATAAAATACTGAAGAGTATAAATAAACACATAAAAGTTGCCCATGTCTCACTGTATCAGATTCCTAGAGGTCCTGTAACAAAGTATAAGAAACCAGGTGGTTCTAAACAACAGAAATGTATTCTCTCGTAGCTCTGGAGGCTAGAAGTCCAAAGTCACGATGTGAGGAGGGCCAAGCTCCCTCTGAGTCACTGGGGTAGAATCTTCTCTTTCCTCTTTCTGGCTCCTGATGGTGGCTGGCAATCCTTGGCATTCTCGGGGGGCAGCTGCATTATTCCAGACTCTGTCTCTGTCAGCACATGGCATTCTCCCAGAGTGTCGCTGTCTTTGCATGGAATTTTCTTCTTCTTCTTAGGGCCCCATTCATATTGGATTATAAGCCACCCTAATCACCTCATCATAACTTGATTACATTTGCAAAGATCTTATTTCTAAATAAGATCACATTCATAGCTAACAGGATTAGGACTTAAACAAATCTTTCTGGGGACATAGTTCAACCCATAATACTGACCATCCCAGGAATGACAACTACTGACACTTCCTCTAGACATTGCCCTGATTAGGACAAAAGATGGTGGTGACCTGCACTTTGGGAGTGACCACGGGGATCGAACTGTTTAGAGTGTTAGGGATTTAGGAGGTAAAATTGACAAGATTCAGGCATTAACTGGGTGAGAGGGAAGAGGTGTTCAGAATATGAAACTCCTGGGTAGAGGGTGGAGCTCTTCCCTGCAGCAGGAGGTGGAGAAGGGCAGCAGTTTGGGGTCAGATATAGGCACAGTGCGTTTAAGTCGCCAGGAGACACCCTAGCAGGGATGTCAGGGGAAGTTAGCTCATGGGTCTGGGTCATCCCGGATGGTGGTTGCAGCCATGGAAATAGGTGAGAACCCTCAGGTAGAGGTGGAGACTGGGAAGAGAGACAGGAATGAGGTGTGGCACATCCCAGCGGTCAGGGGTGAGTGCAGGCCCAGTGGCAGTCCCCATTTGCCCTGAAACGAGGGAGCTCCGGAGATGGGAGGTCCTGCTGCGCTAACACCAGGAGACCCCCAGGTGAGCTGGAATAAGGGGTCCCCCCAAGGGAGCTGGGGGAGGGCAGTCAGCCGGTGGGAGGAAAAGCGAGAGAACAGGCTGGAGACCAGTGCGGGCAGGCAGTGTTCAAGGGGAAGGCCACATCAGGTGTCCAGGGCCTGGAGGGCGGCCCCTGGGTTTGGCCATAAGCCCTCATTGGTGGCTGTGGCAAGAGCACCCTCCGGAGAATAGTGAATGGGGGTTGGGGAGTGGGCATTAGCATGATAGCACCTGCCGGGCACTGGGGAAGGGGAGGCAGCAGCAGCGGGGTTGGAGGACAGATGTGAAAGCCCAGCCTGAAATACCTGTGCAAGAGCCCTGACCTTGTGCCTCCTGCTTGTGCCCTAGGAGGGAGTGGGCAGTGCATGGGGTGACCCACCTCAAGTCCCCTTCCAGCCAGAGTGGCCTCAGGGTCTGTCCCTGCAAGAGTGGACAGGAGAAGGGCACGTGGGCGGCAGCGCAGGCAGGTGGGCAGCACGTGTGTTACCAGAGCAGCTCCTGGGGCTGGGCTTCCCCATATAGATCTCCCTGCTTTGGGTAAAATAGCCCTGCCCGGGGGCCTGGCTGCGCACAGACAACTTCCCACAGCCCATTCGGACACGCCTCATCCCCTCATGGGGATGATCAGTTCTCGGAGGTCCGGGCCTCTGTCTCCAGTCCGGGGTGTCCAGGTATCTGCCCCTGGACCTGCTGCCATCTCCTCAGAAGGAGGTAAGCCCGCCTCCCGTGGCAGAGCACAGCGGCATGTCCACTGTAGCGCACCAAGTCCTCTGGAATTTACCAGAATTCCCCAGGGAGGGGCCTTATCAGTGAGGCTCTCTTCCCCCAGAGAACCTTCCATCAGGACCTTGGGGTCCAGGGGCCGAGGCTCCTACCTGAGCCCCTCTTACAAGATGTAGCACTGGAATATTGCACAGAGCCACAGGGAGAGTTCTCAGGCAGCCACCTGCCTGCTGAGCACACATGCCACCTCCTGCCACCTGCTCAGAAGGGGCGTGCTGTCCCTGTGTGTCACCTTGCCCACTCGGCTGAAACTCCACAGAGAGGACAGGGAAGCCCAGGACTTCCTGGCATTGGTCACGCCGCCTGGTGCTCATGAGGCTCGCTGCTTAAAGGCCTCCTGTAGATGATCTCATGTGATCCTCAAATCTCCCCTCATGGTGGGATCGCTGTTGCCCTCATTTTCAGACCGGGGACAGGCTCGCCCAGTTCAGAATCTTGCCCAAGGCCTGGTAGTGGTGATGAGCATTGTTCTAGGCACTCAGAATCCCTGGGTGACAGAGCCCCAGCTTTCATGGAGGCTGCTTCTTGCTGCTGTAGGCTTTCTCTGGCATGTCTTTCCACTGGTTATCCTCCCAGTGCCCTGGCAGCTGTGAGCAGCTCTATTAGAACCCCATTTTAGAGTGGAAAGAGTTTGCCCAAAGACCCCCAGCCGGAGCCTGCTGGCTCTCTAACCACCAAGCCTACAGGCTTGGCCCAGACTTTGTTTCCTCCAGCTCCAGATCCTGCTCTGTCCCCCATGTCTCTGGAGCATGTGTGGGTTAGTGTGGGAGCAGAGCATGCTGGGGAGACCCAGGCTCAAATTTGGGTTCAAATTCACATACCGCTATGTATTTGCCACGGACATTAGGTGCTGTGGCTGAATTGTGACCCCTCAGAAGTCCCAAGCCCCAGGGTTGGGGTTAGGATTAGAGATCAGGCTTTTAGGTGATACTTAAGAGGACTGGGGGCCATACAAGTAGAGGAGAGAGAGCTCCCCCCGTAAGCACGCAGAGAGCAGCGGCCCTGTGGGGCGCAGCGGGAAGGCAGCCTCTGTAAGCAAGGGGGTCCTCACTGCCCTGGATCAGTCAGCGCCTTACCTGGGGACAGCCTCCAGGACTTTGAGAAAAATAAATAAATGCATGTTGTCTAAGCCACCCAGCTGTGGCATCTAGTCATGGTGACCTGGTCCAACTGGAGCATTTGGCAAATCATGTCATTGCACAAAGCTTCCCTTCTTCCTACGTTACATGGGGATGTCAGTGCCTGTGAGAACTAGATGGACATTTAGGAAGCATTTAGCACGGTTTCTGACACATGCTTGGTGCACGTGCACAGCGCAGACACACAGC